TGAGGCGTTGTCTAGAGGATTGAATAACCTCGTCATGCAATCGGGTTATGTGGGTTTCAAAGTCCCATATGCATGTCCTCATATAACTCATTTGGCGTTTGCGGATGATGTTCTCATATTTTCAAACGGATCCTCCTATTCTTTAAAAGCTATCATGCAGGTACTAGAGGTGTATCAAAGGTGTTCGAGACAGCTGATAAATATGGGAAAAAGCTGCTACTTAGTTCATTCGTCAATGTCACTGGCGAGACGACGGGTGATCGAATGTATCACTACATTTGCCTGGAAGTCATTTCCCATACGTTATCTAAGGTTCCCGCTCTATTTTGGAAGGTGCAAATCATCATATTTTGGGGAAGTATGTCAATCTATTCTAGCAAGGATTATGTCATGGAAATCAAGACTGCTTTCCTTTGGAGGCAAGGTAGTGCTAATCAAGCATGTATTGGCATCAATGCCAGTACATCTGATGTCAGCTGCAGTGATACCAGGTAAGGTATTTAGAACTATTGAACAGGCTCTCTCGACCTTCCTATGGGGGTCATCAATCAAGGAGTCGAAGTTTCACTGGATACGGTGGTCTCATATGTGTTATCCGGTAGATGAAGGAGGAGTAGGCTTCCGGAGGATACAAGATGTCTATACAGCCTTTTCATTCAAACTTTGGTGGAACTTCAGAAAAGGGTTGTCGTTGTGGGCTACGTTCATGAAAGCAAATTGCTGTAGACATCTCCATCCTTGTCAGGTAGAACTCAGGGCAATGGACTCGGCACTCTGGCGGAGGATAGTGAATGTGAGTCGACAAGTAGAGCTCTCTATGCTATGGGTGGTCAAATACAGAGCATGTCATTTTTTGTACGACAATTGGTTGGGGAATGGTGCTTTGTTCCTCCGAGCAACGGTTGTCCCAAATTTATCGTTCGAAAATTTCATTATCAATGGGCATTGGGATGTAAATATGTTATGTCAGACATTGCCAAACGAAATGGTGCCCTCCATTCTAGACCACCCAGTCCCGGAAGAAGGGGGTGAAACTAAAGTGATTTGGATGTCCACGACATCTGGAAAATTCTCTCTAAATTCAGTTTTTGGGGATATTAGACAAGCCCGTAACACGTCGATGGTATTTGAGAGGATATGGCATCCTAGGTTTCCTCTGAAAGTTTCATTTTTCATGTTGCAATTGTTGGTGGAGAGGTTGCCGGTACCAGATAGATTATGTAAACTTGGTTTTCAATTACCTTCAAAATGTTTTTGTTGTCATTCATCATCTTAGGAGTCAATTGAGCATTTATTCTCCAATGGCGATATAGCCTCGGAAGTTTGGAATTATTTTGGAGGAGCATGTGATTTGGAATTCCCAGCATCATCCTTGAGGCCCCGCATAGTGAGTTGGTGGTTGAGTTCACATGATTTTGAGATACGACGATTTATTGGACACATTATTCCCAGTATAGTTTGTTGGCAGATTTGGAAGGCAAGAAATAAAGCAATGTTTGAGGGTGCCCAGATGAGGTCTTCTGCCATTTGTCATGCCATTTTTTCGGAAATACAGTCCATGGTGGGAATTCAATTTAAACAAGGTTTTCAAGTACAGTCATTTCATTAGTTATATGATTGGTTGTATTCATCTAATGTTGGGATTGCATACAAACTTGTTTGCTGGGAAAATAAGCAATCAGGTCGATACATTCTTAATACGGATGACTATTCAAAGGGTAATCCAGGAGTGGGTGGAAGCGGTGGGGTTCTTCGGGATTCAAAGGGCATGCCTCTGATTGGTTTTTCGGCATATCTTGGAGAAACTACATGTCTCCATGCAGAGGCTAGGGCCCTCCTTATTGGTCTTCAAATATGTGTACATAGGGGTTTTGGAAATCTATATGTGCAATCGGATTTTTTGGTATTAGTTGGAATTCTTCAGCATCGTATTCATTGCCCCTGGCACATTCGACGGGAGGTCAGGCAAATTTGGAAGTTCGTGGAAGATTCGGATCGCTTTTTGCACTATTACAGGGAGGCTAACACAGTTGCTGATGCTTTATCCAATGTGGCTGTATCGCATCCAGAACAACAACTCAAGATATATAAGGCCTTTAATTCGTTTCCAAGATTGGCTCGTGGGGCAATTCGATTGGATAGATTAGCGATGGCTATAAAAAATAGGAGTTATAAAAATGATTCTCCTATTTTAAAAAGACCCTTCTTCTAAGATAACACCATTAAATTCGTAGTCCAATAAAATGTTAACGCCTCTTCTTTTTTTTAATCATGGATTGCCCAATTTAGCTTTTTTTGATCCTATAAAAATCATCTCGTAGCATTTTGATAACAGTTTCAAGTAGCACTGTGAGTTGCATGGAAGTTTAAGATTAAAAAGAAAAAAAAAGAGCATCTTAATTTTGCAATAGACGTAAATATATCAATTTGCAAGTAAAATAGATGGATAAATACATCACTTTAATAGTGATAAAAAAAAGAAATGTATTATATGTTCGAGAAGCTGCAGAAGCTCAGTAGCTGGGCCACGCACAGAAGCTAGAAACCAAGCGGAGCCTGGTGGTGGGCGGAGACATGGTTGACTTTTTATTCTTGAAAAAAAGGAAAAAGAAAAAATGATACAATTTATTTGAAAGTTTTGAACCTGTGGGCCTGTGGCACGGGTCTGCTTATTAATCCTTCCAGTCTCCTTCCTTAGTACCCGCTTATATAGTGCATGGAAATTTCTTAAATCTTATACATAAAGAATTATGCCAATTGAAGTTAGTTCAGTTGACAAGAACGGGTCAGTTTCTTACAAAAGATTTGTTCATAAGAGGGTTGTATTGATAAATGATCTGTAAAAAAAAACGTATTACATAAAGAATTGTATGCTTAATTACCGACTTTTACCCAATCATCTTGCAACAGAATACATCTATGTTCTCTCCATTTACTTTTATAAATTGTTATTTATCTACACACTAGATTACTAGTTTAGGTAAAAAAATAATAATAAACCCAATTTTTTCCTTTTATGAACTCGAGCTAAAATTGTTTTATGTTTGAATTGTATGTAGTATTTTGGAACAATGTAGAAATTGTGGACTTGGATCATATCCTTCATTTTATGTGTGGTGGTGTATCCTCCATTTATTCAGTCTAAATAAATGAGTAACAGTCACCTTTTCTTAGAATGAAGGTTATGCTTTTTTTTAATTTTATTTTCTCACAGGGCAGGAGTGAGATTTAATAAGCAAGAAGAGAACAAAGGGATCTCTAATTTCTGAGGTTTCAAATTTAGCCAATAGATCAAAACCTTCTCGGCAAGAAAGGTAAGCTAATTGTTAACCACTAGCCTTTGGGCTGGTGGCCACCACCAATGCATTAAGACTTGGTGGGGTGGAAGACAAGGGTTCAAACTTTGTCTCCCATCAATTTGCCACATTTAATTGTGGCCTTGCTTAAAAAATCCAAACGGGTGAGTAGTGCACCCGTCTGGTCCGGTGGTGATTCAGTTCCCTCCCAATTACCCTAGGATCTCTTCAGATCCTCTCCCTCCCCTTAGTGTAGGAAGCTATCATATCGAAAAAAAAAAGAAAGAAAGGTAAGCTAATTGTCACATTTTCACTTAAAATTTTAAACAAGGAATCGCATAGTCTTGACACAGACTAGTTTCGTCCCACCATAAATGCAGTAACATGTATAAAAAACCAGTATAGACCATAAACATAAAATGCATAAACAACTAAATGTAGATTGGCACGTGTATATAAAAATATGAGAAAATTTTTGAATATGTAGCAATATAATTTTGACCGCGTTTAGTCTTTTTGTTTGTAGAATAACTAGATACTTGGATGACATATACAATTCGTATATAAACGTTTCAACAATAATGAGCAATCAATTGTTTGTATATGAAATTTCATAGTATTTCGTATTAAAATTAGAAAAAAAAGGATTGCAGCTAATATCTTGTTGTTCATTTCTTTACCAAGTATATAATCCACTAATGCAAAATGAAAAAAATCCTAAAGTAGAAGAAAAGGAAAAAGGTTCTTAGGAGAGGAATTAGACACATATGATCTTCATCTAACCTATAATGGTTCCATGAATGCAGCCATTTACCTGTGATCTATTATTTTCAATGATCTTTTTGCAATTTCTGTTTTTTAATAGAACTTGCTCAACCATAGATGATTGAGACAATTCCTACGGTAATCTGCAAATGTTAATTCCACAACCATATCATCAATCCCACAAACATAGGCAAAGCCACTCATATACATTTAATCTACCCTACATGCACCTAGACTATAGATCAATTCTTATCCAATCTCAGCTTAAAACTTGGATGAAATCAAAGATTCTCCATTCTTTTTGCTTGCAAATTCAAAAAACCAACAAAAAAAAAGAGAGAGACAACCCAAACTCCATATTTTGTATGATATATTATATTCACCAACAATATATGTATATATAGTACTAAAATTACTGCAACATATCATAACCCATGACAAACTAAAGAAATTTTCATCCTTTCTTGTCACTCTTCTATTTTATATCGTGTTCCAGAGGTACAATAAATACAAGTATATTATGCGTTTAATCATTTTGACTTTCAACTTATTATTGTCTTTGTTTTTCATTTTCAGTTAATCATCAAGAATTAAAACACATTGCCATATATAACCATCATATTCTAGAAGCAAAATCATAAATGGAACACAATCAATTTCCATCCCAAACTCAAATAAAAACACTAGGCTAACAAGTGAAAACCAAAAAAAAAAAAAAAAAAGTCTCAAATTCCTTTCCCAAAAAAAGAAGTCACATGTTCGAATGTGAGGAGGACAAAATGGTAATTTCACCAACATCTGGAAGTAGCAAAATCAGGAGTGGCTTTTGATAACAAGTTTGAACCATTCCATCATCCCGCTCTCCTCACTTTATCTCTAAATAAAATATATAGTCTATCTCTATATATATACGTCACCTTAAAGAGAGACATATTTTTTCACACACTCACTCACTCACTCTACTGCCATTACTGAGTCTGCTGAGTTGAGTGATTCATCGGCGACTTCCAAACCCTAGCTGCTGTGGTTTCGAGATAGAGACAACTCTCGGCCGGCGAATCATCTCTGAGCTGTTCGAATTCAAATGCGAAGTAATTAAGCTCAGCTCATCTCTCTGTTTTTCCCTGGATTTCTGGAAATTTCTTTTCTTTTTTTTTTTGTTTTGATCTGATCGCTTTTATTAATGTGTAGACGGAGATTGATTATCTGTTGTTTGTGCTTCCGAGTTTCTCATTTTTACTATTGTGATAGTGTTTGGAATTTTTTTCTGAGTTTAATGTGATTTTTAGTTGAATTTTCGGAGCTTAGTTTTGAATTTGGACTGGCATTGTGTTATAATGCGTAGATCTGTAATTCTGGAATCGTTTTATGGATCCTTTTTGCCTTTTTTATTTCAAAATTTTGATGCTATAAAAGGTCGGCTTCTTGAAATGTGTTTGTTCTTAGAAGATTGTGGCACATTTTGTCTTGGTCATTTGTTTTATGGATGCTGAATGCTATTTTTAAAGGAGTTTAAATTCTAAATTTAAAATCTAGTCTGGAGAAAGTGATTTCATCCGGGAGTTCTTACAGCTGCCGGATCAGGGTACGTTTGATTGTTGCTTAGTATTTGAACGTTCGTCCGAATTGGAAAAGAAGGGGATTAATTTTTTTTGTTTGGTTTCAGTAAATTATTTCCTGCTCTGCATCTTTTATTTGCTTTCCTGGTAAACTTCTAAATTTTGGATTCAGTGGCTATGAAAAAACAGAAGAAACCTAAAGAAAAAATAATAAATAAAAGGGCTGCAGCTTCAAAAGGAAATGCTGTAGAGTTAATTTTCCAGGATTATAAAGCTGCTTGACGAAAAGTTTGCTGCAGGATTGCTAATTTCTGGGACAAGAGTATGAGAACTGAAGCTCAGATATTTGGATCTTTTAAATTTGTATCTGGAGACAATGCAGGTCAGTTTTTTGACTAAAATATGAACTCCTACAGTTATAGTTTGTTTTTTGGATAGTGGTAAAAGAGCTGGGGAAATAATTTATTTTAAAAGGATTGCAGTTCTGTTCAAAGTCAGAATCTTATTTTCAAGAAACTATTTCTGCTATGATGTACCATCATTTTTATGCTCTGTACACAATGCATGACATATTTAAGAATCCGTAACATTTCTTTGGGTGTAAAATGCAGGTCTGAGAGAAGGTATTCATCATTGATGCTTTGCACACACTTTATAAGGCGTGCAAAGATGAGTCAGGAAAATAAGCGTTCAAATTTTGAAGAGCCAGCAATGCGCATTACTCGTGCACGGGCTAAGGCCTTAGGCCAATCTGGAGGACTGCCGCCACTTTACCCTTCTTCCAAACCTAATGATAAACGAGTCCTTCGTCCAAACTTCAAAAGAACTGCACCTGATGAAAACAAACCTGTTACTACTGCTGCTGCTTCTTGTCATCAACATAAGAAAAGGGCTGTACTTAATGATGTAACTAATATAATCTGCAAAAATTCTTACAGAAGGTGCATCAGTTCACCCAAGCTACAGGTAATATGCAATATATGTTTTATGTAATATATGTTTCTGTTAATCTATCTAAAGTTCATTTTCCTAAGCTAATATGCATATCAAAAGATAGCTAAATAATGCTTTTCTGAGCCATCTATGCTTAGATTGTCAGTGCTTTCAAACTTTGAACGACTGTATTGTTGAACAACCTGCTAAGCAGGAGAAAAAGCACTCTATCAAGAGAAATGCAAAGGTGGTACCTGCTGCTCGTGGAGAAAAACCTGAGAATAAAGAGGAGAAGATTGAGAACATAACTTGCGAAATGAAAATAAAGGCAGAGGAAAAAATTAACCTGTCAGAAAATATCAGAGTGTGCATGGGTATTAAATCAAATGAAGCCATCGGCATAAGAGGCTGTCTTGTAGCAAATCTTGCCACCTATAAAGCAGAACCACAGCAAGGATGATGAGCCCCAGAATCAGCCAAAGAGAGGTTAGATGATATATATCAGTATGATACCATATCTATGCAAAAGACTAAAAGAGGGAACTTTCCCACTCTGTGTTATTATGTATAATGATAAAATATGTAAGATGAACTGATGAATTGGCTTGACATGTCGAATTCCAAAGTGCATTCTGAAGAGAATAAGAGAAGTTCATTGAACAAAGTAGGTGATATAACCGACCATATAATAGATAGGCGGTAGATACCAGCCATATAATAATTAGGCGGTAAAACCGACCATATAAAGACAGATAACAAAGCAAATAAAAGACACAGAAGATTTACGTGGTTCGGTCAAATTGACCTACGTCCACGGGCGAGGGAGGAGCAATATTTCTACTATGAAAAAAAAATACAAAAGACCGTAGGAAAGTGGTTCCTAAACCAATAGGCACTTATAAAAGAGTTTAGAAAATATTCCTAAACTCATAACAAGAGAGCCTAAAATATTTAACTGAATGGGCTAAATGACTCAAGAAACTAATAGCCCATATTACTCTCTTGAGTGGTGCAATTGAAACCTTCATATGAGCCCCCTATTTATAGGAATTTGGGAGGCTTTCCTTCTGCTTCTGGCGATGTGGGATAAAATTCTGCCACAGTCAAGAATTGCGGCTGAAGAATTGCGATCAACAAATCTCCACCTTGGCATAATTTTGAATCCCACCATCGATAATAGTAAAACTGCTCCACCTTCTCCACATAAGCCCCAATGGGCTTAAATCACCAACAATGAACACCAACCAAATCCAAGCACTGCTTGAACTTGTAAACTGGAAGAGGTTTCGTAAACATATCGGCTGGATTGTCCTTAGTATTGATTTTCTGAATAAGGACTTTTCCCTCAGCAATGATATCCCGAATGAAGTGATACTTCACATCAATATGTTTCGTCCTCTCATGATACATCTGATCTTTAGTCAAGTGTATGGCACTTTGACTATCACAGTGAATATCAGTAACACCTTGATATAGACTTAGCTCGCTAAATAAACTCTTCAACCACAAGGCTTCTTTGATTGCCTCGGTCACAGCCATATATTCTGCTTCAGTAGTAGACAAAGCTACGACAGGTTGTAGAGTAGCTTTCCAACTAACAGCACAACCGCCAATGCAAAATACATAGCCTGAAAGTGATCTTCTCCTGTCAAGATCCCCAGCGTAGTCTGAGTCTACAAAACCAACCAAAGTGTTATTATTTCTTCCAAACTCCAAACATGCATTTGAAGTACCTCGCAAGTATCTGAGAATCCACTTCACAGCTTGCCAATGTGCTTTACCAGGGCAAGACATATATCTGCTAACAACACTGACTGCTTGTGCAATATCTGGACGAGTACAAACCATTGCATACATAACACTGCCGACTGCACTGGAATAAGGAACCCGTGCCATATAATCTTCCTCTTCATCTGATTTTGGTGATTGAGCAGCAGATAGCCGAAAATGGCTAGCAAGAGGAGTAGATACTGGTTTAGCATCTTTCATGCCAAAATACTCCAAAACTTTCTCAAGGTAATTTTTCTGGGTCAAGAACAACTTCCCTACTTCTCGATCTCGCTTGATATCCATGCCAAGAATTTTCTTAGCTGCTCCCAAATCTTTCATTTCAAATTCACTATTTAACTGCAGTTTCAAAGTGTGAATTTCTGACAAATTCTTGGCAGCAATGAGCATGTCATCAACATAAAGCAGCAAATAAATGAAAGAACCATCATTTAACTTCCGGAAGTAAACACAACTATCATACATGCTCCTCAAATAACCATGACCCAACATAAAGGAATCAAACCTTTTATACCATTGTCTTGGAGACTGCTTCAATCCATATAAGGATTTCTTCAATAAGCAAACATGGTCTTCCTTACCTTCAATTTCAAAACCCTGGGGTTGTTTCATATAAATTTGTTCTTCAAGTTCACTATGTAAGAAAGCTGTCTTAACATCAAGCTGCTCTAACTCCAAATCATACATGGCAACTAAAGCAAGTAAAACACGAATAGAGCTATGTTTAACAACAGGTGAAAACACATCATTAAAATCAACACCTTGTACCTGACTATAGCCCTTTGCAACTAATCGTGCTTTATACCTTGCATCTTCAACCCCTGGAATACCTTGCTTTTTCTTGAAAATCCACTTACAACCAACTATTTTCTTATTTGACGGCGGCTTTACAAGAACCCAAGTTTCATTACGATGAAGAGATTCAATTTCTTCATTCATCGCAATCAACCACTTTGCAGAATCATCACAAGAAACTGCTTCTGAATAGGTGGAAGGCTCACCAACTGCATCAGTTTCTTCTGCAACAGATAAAGCATATTCAACTAAATTTGCATATCTTTGTGGTGGTCGAATGTCTCTCCTTTGTCTATCTCTGGCTATGGAATACTCCTCTTCTTCTAAACTATCTTCAACAGTAGATTCAGGTGTATCTACTGGCACTTGTTGAATAGAAGATTTGGACTGAGAAGGACCAGAACTGCCAATATCAAGCTCCACCTGCTTCTGTGTACTATTAGTAGTACAAGGACTAGAAGACTCCTTCTTGGAAGATAACATAGACAATTCATCAAAAGTAACATCTCTACTGATCACAAATTTTGGAGATTTGGGATCAGGACACTATAATCTGTATCCTTTCACCCCAGAAGCATACCCAAGAAAAATACACTTTTAAGCCCTAGGCTCCAATTTTCCATCATTCACGTGCATGTATGCTGTACATCCAAAAATTTTTAAATTGGAGTAATCAGCAGGAGTACCTGACCAAACTTCCTCAGGAGTTTTGAAATCAAGAGATGTAGAAGGAGAACGGTTGACAATATAACAGGCCATATTGATCGCCTCTGCCCAAAAGTCGTTTGTCAACCCTGCATTGGAGATCATACATCTTGCTCTCTCCAAAAGCGTTCTGTTCATACGTTCAGCCACACCATTTTGTTGAGGCGTCATCCTGACGGTGTGATACCGAACAATTCATTCATTCTTGCAGAATTCATTAAATTCACCTTCACAAAATTCCATGCCATTATCTGTCCTGAGCCGCTTAATGTGTTTTCCTGTTTGCTTCTCAATCAAAACTTTCTATTACTTGAAAGTTAGGAAAACATCATTTTTATGCTTAAGAAAATATACCCAAACTTTCCTTAAATAATCATCAATGAAAGTCAACATGTACCTGGCACCTCCTTTAGAAGAAGCACGAGAAGGCCCCCAGAGGTCTGAATGAATGTAGTCTAAAGTTCCTTTTGTCCTGTGAACTGCCGGCAACTGGAAGCTAACTCTCTTCTGCTTTCCAAAAATGCAATGTTCACAGAGTCCCATCTTTCCAATACTTTGACTACCAAGAAGACCTCGTTTGCATAAAATAGATAAGCCCTTCTCGCTCATGTGCCCCAATCTCATGTGCCATAATTTGGTAAAATCATAATCAGACAAAGTTGATGTAGAAACAGCAGCAGCACCTGTAATAGTAGATCCCTGCAAAATATATAGAGTACCAGATCTGTGTGCCTTCATAACAACAAGAGCTCCTCGAGTGATTTTGAGAACTCCATCTCCACCTGAATACCTGCACCCAATAGACTCAAGAGTGCCCAAAGAGATGAGATTTTTCTTCAAATCTGGAACATGTCTAACATCTGTGAGCGTCCTCACAATACCATCGTACATTTTAATCCGGATTGTGCCTTTGCCAACAACTTTACAAACAACGTTGTTGCCCATTAAGACAACTCCACCTTCAGTTGATTCATATGTTGAAAACCAGTCCCTATTGGGACACATATGATATGAACAACCCGAATCTAAAATCCACTCATTGTTAGATCTAAAAATATTTTCCGTTGCACAGAAAATGGTTCCATCATTCTCATCAGCTGTTATACTAGCTTCAGCGGATTCAGTATTTTTCTCAACAAAATTCCCCTTTTGCTTTTCTTTATTTTTCAATTTAAAGCAATCAGAGATAACATGGCCCTTCTTTTTACAATAATTGCACACCACATTTTTATGTCTGGACTTGGATCTACTTCTATTTTCTGTGTTTCTCTTTTCAGATCTACCCCGAACAAACAAGCCATCGGCTTGACTCCCACTACTTTCCCCAGTAATGTCCCTATCTATCTACTCTTTAGATTTTAATGCAGATTTAATTTTCCGATACGAAATTGTTTCATTTCCATAAATCATAGTATCGCAGAAATGCTTAAAAGACTGGGGAAGGGAACACAAAAGTAATAGGGTTTGATCTTCATCATCAATTTTCGAATCTATATTCCCCAAATCCATAATAATGGAATCAAATATATCAAGATGGGAGAGTATAGATGTACCTTCAGACATCCGAAGCATGTACAAACTCTGCTTCAAATATAGCCGATTCTCGACTGTCTTCTTCATATACAAGGCTTTCAATTTATCCCACATAGCCTTGGTCGAAGTCTCCGTTGCTACCTCACGCAATACCTCATCGGAGAGATTTAAGATTATGCTGGATCTGGCCTTCTTATCCATATCGGCGAAATCCGCATCCTTTACATCTTCTGGTTTGTTCTCGATTCCGTGAATCGCTAGATCAACTCCGTCTTGAACAAGAATGGCCTCCATCTTGAGCTGCCACATTCCGAAGTTGACATTCCTGTCGAATTTCTCGACAACCGTCTTTGTTATCGTCATTGTTGCCACAAAATCAGTAACTTAAAATTTGTCTCAAAAAAATTGGTTAAACAAATATGCAAGTCTCGTGAGCGGGCCCCACAGGGTGAGCGGGCCCCACGGGATGAAAGGACCCCACAAGGTGAGCGGGTCCCACGGATAAACGGACCCCACAGGATGAGTGGGCCCCACAGGATGGACGGACCCCACCAGATGAACCTGTCTTGCAAAATATAATAACCAGCTCTGATACCAGTTTGTTAGGACCGGCCCAGGAAATAGACAAATCCAAGTTAGGACAAAGTAGGCGGTATAACCGACCA